TCTCCTGACACTGCAGCTTTCTCTACCTTTGCTGTTCTCCACAGACCATCTTTGGTCTGATCCTGCGCTAAAGAGATCTCACAAGATGTGCACATGGTCTCTAATGCTCTGAACTGTGTGGTAGAGAAACCTCACAGAATGTAGCTTTGCTGGAACAGAGTGTGTATATATAGGCATACAGAGTGTGTATATGCATGCATACAGAGTGTATATATGCACATACTTTGTATATACATTACATACAAAATACGTATATGTCTTTTACACAAAAAACTCAGGGAACCAAGAGAGAAAAATCATCTCGTGGATTAGCCAGCCTAGCAGAAGCTTCTCAACATGTTTGACGGTATAAGAAGTTTAGAAATTATGCATATGCTCAGCCTTGCACATGCTGAGCCCATCAGAGCTCATGTACATGCAGAATAGATTAGTGCTTGTGTATTCATCAGTGCCAAGGGTGGACAGAATGTTTTCGGGGGGGGTGTGGAGTAAAAATATTTTATATTTTAAAAACTCTTAAAATAAGTAATTAAACACATACAATTGCTATGTACTAAAAAAATCTAACTGTTGTTCACGTGAAAAGGTTGTTCTTCAGTGTTGATATCAAGAGGGTACAGTAAAGTAGTTCCCAAATTCATAAACATTCAAGTTGTGTTTTAAGTTGCTAACTTTTGATTAAGCTGAAAACAATGCAGTTGCTTGTCTCTGAAAGACAAAGGTTTATGTTTATGACTTTCTGAGAAGATACATTCACTACAGTACAGCAGCTGTGGTTAGAAACAGTGACAAACACTAGCTTCTCTGGAAAAATGCCATTGTTGATTTATCGCAATATATTTCAACTCTGTATAGATTTCTCACAGTTACCCAATAAACACACTGGTTTCATTCTTCAGAGATTAACAATCTCTCCTGTGTGCTCAGGTTCTTTCCAGTTTAGTACACTGTTTCTTTTGAAGGATTTGTTTTCCTGGGTTGAATTTAAGAACTCAGAGCACCTTATCACACTTTCACAAGCTTGCTCTCTAAGGGGGAAAGAAGAGGGGGGAAAAAAGCCCATCAAGGCTTGTGCCAGTTAAATCCAAGCTCTCAGGGGATTTGTTTTTCTTTTGGCGTCAGATTAGATGTTCAAACCAAGCGGTGTTGTGGGGCTGCGGGTGAGTGTCCACCGAACCCTTAACAAGGCTAATCCCACAGCAGCACATTCCAAGCAGCTAATGGGTGTAAGGGCTTCACTTGGTCCCACATCTCTGCACTGCGGATTGACTGTGCGCCCTGTTAGGGGGGCGGTCGTGGATGTGTTATTAGCGATGACCAGCAGCAGGGAAACGTGGACAGCAGAGTTTGCTCTGGGACAGACTTAAACGCCAAGTTTGATGCTCAGGTAAAGAAGAGGGAGAAAAAATGTTCTTGGTGGGATTTTGCAGCTAGGTTAACAGAGAGACTTAACCTAGAGATCTAAGCTATGAATAAACTAAATCAAAGTATAAGCATGGCATGTACTTTAGGAATTCACTGTGGACTTTAAATTGTCTTATGAGTTGATACGGAAGGAGTGTTTATTAAATAAGAGAAAGAAGATAAGTTCCTTGCTCTACTATTCTTGAAAATACTTTGCTATACCTTCCAAACTTTTTACTACTTTATTACTTCACACTATAAACAAGAGTTTAATGCAGACTGTTTTGTTATGAATGTGTTGATTTCCTCAAGTTGTTCTAATTTTTTTACAGAGACTCTACAGCAAGTAACATAATTTATTATACCTCTGAACCTTGTATTTCATTGCAAACGGTCTCTGTCACAGAAAGATAACTGACATGGAGCAGTGAAACCAGGTGCTTTCTTTTTAGTTTGGAAGGACAAGGAATTATGAAATGAGTAAATCATGTATTTTGGCATTATGACTCTGTCAGGCAGGATAGTATATTGTTTGAGATCTAAAAGCTGGAAAGTCTTTTTTTGTGATATGAATAAAGGACTTTTAAAATCAGACTATTATTTTTGCAATACTACATTTGAGGAAGTATGATGAAAATTCAAATGCAAATTATTATTATATTTAACATAGCCGGGATTCTTTTCTACTTGCAAAGACAGTATGAAAAAAGAGTAGGAAAACAAATTTTAAGTGACATTTTCTTGGTTTTTGAAACCTGCTTGTATACCTAAAGAAAAACGTTTTCGGTGAAGTACCTGTTATGGCACCTTTTTGTATGGGATCTTGAGGCTTAGAGAAACTGAATTAGTGGTGATCTTTAGAAAAGATACATAAGGTCTACTAGTAAGTAAATTCAACAAGGTAAATTGTTTGTAGAAAAGTATATACAATTTATGAAATTTAATAAAGGATATTTTTTACGGTGTCTTGGCAATGTGAATGATAATCATATGCCATGTAAGCTCTGCAGTAGGAGCTGATTTTGGATGCCAAGAAGAAAAGTTGTCTTATAAAAGCTTTTCATGCTTTCTAGAGAGGATAAAGGATATTGCAGGCATGTATTTAGTGTTAAAACAAACAAGCATGAAGATAAATTTGGCATTATTCTATAAGTGTTTCTTTTTTGTCAAAATGTTACTGTATATATATATATATACAACAAAGGGGATTAAGTAATCTGCAACTTATTAGTTTGTGTGTTCTTAAGGCAATATAGAAAGCTTGTGTAGTCTTGGAACTTGAAGGGGAGAAATTTCAGGAATGTGTGGTCCATACAGTAAAGTATGTAATTTCAAATGTTAGCATTGCAATACCTGAATAATAATTGTAACTTCCTTTCTTTCTCTACAACACTCAACAAAAACAAAACCCCTAATTTTCCCATGTAGTTTAGTTTCAAAAGTTCTACAGTAAGAGGGTCAAATGAAGTTCATAAAGTTCACTCTGGATGCCTTGACAGTTCTAGAAAGTTAGTTTATAAAAAGCCTTTCTTTGCCTGAAAAGACTACTAAATAGAGAAATTACTCAACTCTGGACTAGACTTCTAAGGTGATTTGACCATATAATATACGATGTCATGATGATGATTATTATTGATTATTATTATTGATTATTATTATTCTGATTATGATTGTGATTATTATGATGATGCTGATGATGATGATTATTATTATTATTATTATTATTATTACCTGCATCATAGGCTTATAAACATTTAGAAGTTATAATAAATTAGAACTTCAAGGTAATCTCTTCTATGTAAAGTAAAACTTTTTTATATTTTTCAGAATTTCTATTTAACTGTCTTTTGCTTAAACATGAAGCAAAACTTGCCCCACATTCTATAATGCATTAACTTTCTCTTGCTACAGTAAGGAAGAACAATCAAATACAGTTCTATTTAAAGTTTTTTAATAGACTTTTCTTTTTCCTGACTGTAAAAGTCATGTTAGGGTGTCTGCCATTCCTACAAAATATGAAGTTTAGCCAGTTTTTTAAATAAAAATGCAAATAGAGCAAAGATAAAATATTGCTACATAACACAAGTGACCACTAGATCCAATACAGGATTATCTTCTGTGAAAAAGGCAAAATAATAACTTTTTATGTACTGAGAGTGATAAGTAATGAATGTAGCTAGAAATTCTTATTATGGTACTTTATACTAGTGACATTCATTGACTCCAAGACATTTCCACAGTTCACAATGATTTTCAAAAGTCCCACAAACACAGGCTTCTGAGTTTAAACATGAAAAACAGGATGCAGATTGAGTTGACAAAAAGGTAACATTAGATAGTTAGTAACGTAGCATTAGTTACGAAAGGTAATAGACAGGTTAACTATCTAACCTTACATAGTAAAACGTAACATTAGTTAGGTAATGTTATAAAGGTAATTTCATATTTTCTCTTTTTATAGAGACAATATGCTCAGATTTCCTTTAAATTATCTAAAGGTCATTTCACATTACTTAATTCTCAGATAACTTTGTCATAGTTCATAGTTTATAGTTGTGTTTATTCTGTGCAATTAAATAGGTAATTTTATTATTTAAATATATTTTATAAATTTTTTCTGTTTGAAATGAATTTTTGTAGGAAAGTTTCAACTTATCTCCTTATTACATGAAATAATTGAATTCTGTCTGGGGGAAATCTTCTAGACAGCTTGCCAGAATTCATATTATATGGAGTGAGTACTGTCTAGATAATTAAAAAGATTTCAGAACTCTGTAAGTCTCTTGTTTGTTGTTTTGGGTTTTTTTCTTTCCTACCCATCTATCCTTCTTTTAAAAAAGATCTCTTGTGTATCTGAAAATTAAGACTACGCTGAGGGAAATTACTTGATTTCCTGCGAATATGTGGGGGAAGATCTTGGGTGTTATGAACAGGCATAGCTTCCTTGAACTCAGTCAGTTTTAGAGGTTACATCAGCTGGTCATCTGACTCTTAATGTATCAAAGTTTTTTATGTTTCATTTCAGAAACAGATCTTCCTTTTTTTTTTTTTTTCTTTTAATTAAGATGTCCACATATGAAACTATATTTTCTGGCTCCATTGTAAACAGCACTCTCAGTACTTATATAAAAAATTGCATTGGAATCATGGTGTTATAGGTTTTATTGTGAGATATTTATTTTCCAGTTTCTGAGATATTTTTTTTTAAATTAGAGCTGACTTAATTGTATCACCAAAATGGATATAGATTTTTTAAGTGTTTTTAATGAATAGGTGTGTTTTTTCTTTATCATGCAGAAAACTTCACAGTTTGAATTAATTCTTCTCCAGTGATTCCTGCTATGAGAATATAGATGACAGCGTCAAAGGCATCTGGCTAGTGAATATGAAAACAGTCTTAAGAGCTTGTGTTGGGTGCTTAGCTCTAGAAGGGAACCATAGTTCTAATGGAAAATGTTTGCTCTGTGCAAAATGTGCACTCCATATCTGCAAAGTCAGTGAAGATTCCTTTTATGTTTGAAGTTTCTCTTCAGTTGTACTGTAAGTTGTGTTTATTAAGCAAACAAAGCTCACAGCATTTCCTTTCTCATTTTTAGGCACAGAAATCATGGATAGAAAGAGCATTTTACAAGAGAGAATGTGTTCATATCATACCCAGCACCAAAGACCCCCATAGGTAATTGCATGCTACTTGTATGAAAAATGAAAGTCAATTACAAGAAAATGGCTATATATATGTGTGTGCATACATATGTATATGGATACAAATAGTTTGTAAAGACTTATTTGATCAGAAGTTGATTGAATTACATCTGGAGTGATGGATTCCTATGGGCACTGTTTATTTACATTTCAAAACTTATTTCATCAAAAAAAAAAGATAAATCAAAGGTAGATCAGCATCTATGTTTAATTTCCATATCTTAGTTCAATATTCAGTGCCTTGAATATTTACCTAAATTGGATGCATGTCTGCATGACATACAATATTGTCAAATATTGTGTGCATGACATACAATATCGTCAAAAGAAAATAACTGCAGTGAACTACCAATTTAAAATATGTGCTAGTCCATGCAAAAGCTGATTATTTGGCCTGATGTCATCTGAAGACAGTAGAAAATGTTCTTTAACTTCATTTTGTACATATTTAGAACAAAGCATGATTTTATTGAAATATAGGAGAGTCCAAAGTAAACAAGAGCATAGAAAGAGAAGGTACTATCTGTACTATGTTGCTTCCACAAGTAGAGGCTTTAGATAGCAGGAAAGTGGTCAGCAGAGTTGAAAAGATTTTTTTTTTTTAAGATTTGTAGGCCGTTTAAGATAGATTGTTTCCCAATTTGGTTTATACATGCACGTGACTCAAGTTTTCTGTTTGTTTAATGCCATAGGTGTTGCTGTGGGCGTCTAATAGGTCAACATGTTGGACTGACTCCAAGCATCTCTGTTATTCAGAATGAGAAAAATGAAAGCAGGCTTACCCGCAATGACATCCAGTCGGAGAAGTGGTCCATCAGCAAGCACACGCAGCTCAGCCCGACGGACGCTTTTGGAACCATTGAGTTCCAAGGAGGAGGCCACTCCAATAAAGCCATGGTAACCATGTTTTTCTCTTAGATAAATAATGCTGCTAGCTCAAAAAAGGCATTCATAAAGAATAAACAGCATTCTTTCTTAACTTCATTTTAAAGTATTATTTAGTGTAAGATTGTACCATATGTTTTTATGTATCATGTGCCAAAGAACTGGTGAACAGAATTAACTGTAAAAGCCAGAGTGCAGCATAAGAGGGGCTACCTTTATGAAGACTGAAGATGTTAATGTGCTGCTATCTCAATTTTCTTCCAACGGCTAGCCATCCCTCTTTTTCTGAATAACTTTAGAATTCAACTATGGTTTCCCCATTGTTGGGTGTGTCTGCAAGGCTGACAAATTTGAAATATACCAAATTTCTTTTAATATTCCTCCAGACGTATATCGGAGGATAGACCGGTTAGTCTTATTGGTTCGTATTTCAATGAAATAAGAGGCCTAGTAAGTGTCTAAGCTAGGAACTGGGAAATCCCTATTCTGCCATGGATTTCCTTGAGCAAGTCACTTCATGATAATACAATGCTACGGAGCGATACCTAATTATATTAATCTGAAGGTATTGCTCCACTAAGTTGGAGAGATGTTTCCAGAACCCACACTAACCCATGCATGTATTTCTTCTATGTGGCATTACATGAAAGGAGGAATCTCTCTGGCTCTATCTAAATTGCAGAACCTGGAACTTTGAGAATGAAAGATGAGTGCGTACCTAGCATATCGTGGCCAAGACACTGCTTTGGACAGCAGTGAGGGCAGAAGCAGAACGCCTGGGCACTTTGCAGAATAACCTCCCCAGCAACCCAGCACCATCTTCTTTGCCTGAATACTTCCCAACAGGTCTCTCAATCTGTCATGGTAGATGATTAGGTGTATTAGAGACAATGAAGAGCTCGGGTACTATGCTAGCAAGAGCCAGATATTTCCCTCAGATGCATACATAGTTGCTGGAGATGGAATGATTACTTGAGTGGATGGTTCTGTTTGCCCAGATGGATGTCTTCTCTTGATAGAGACCAGAAAACACTGTTGCACCAAGAAACAGATAGGAAATTAGGTCATTTCTGTGAGAGTATCACAGCCATCTTATGTTCACTTGATAACCAATCACCTAAAAATCTGCAAGGCCACCACTAGAGAGACTCTGATTCAGGAAATAACATTTGTTTAGTGTGAATAAATTGACACCTCCCTCAACACTGAAATGAACCAAACCATGTTGTTGGTATCTTCACAAGGAGTGGGAACAAAACAGAATGCTTTTCACCAAAACTGAGAAGGATTCAGAGATATAGTAACTGTCATGCTATTAACCATATATGGATACTTTGCATTAAATCTGTCTTTATGAGAACAGGTAATCACTAGAGCTGTTTGAGTGATGTCCTTGAATATCAGTATAAAGCAATAAACTGTCTTGCCCAGACAAAAGTAGTCTTTGGCAACCAAGAAATGATGAAGGGTTTAGGGAAGCTGTTGATACCAATTTCTCTAGAGGATTTCTGGTCTTTGTTGGGATTCTGGTGTCCTGGTACAGAGCTGTAAGAGAACAGGAGATGCTCCAAGGTCTATGCTGTGTGTTCAAAGAAATACACTTGAAGTGAAACTGCGGAGATAAAATTAGAAGTCAACATGAAGGAAAGAAAAATCTTGTCACAGAGTGCAGTCAGGAATGAAACCATGAAGAATTTAGAAAAAAGAAGACAAAAAGGGGTTAAAAATCTGAGAGACCCAAATAACAAGTTAAAACTTAGGAATGAATACAGACAAAACATTTCTTGCTGGAAAAGCTCTGGATTTATTTTGACAGTACTAGAATCAGGAAGATGGTTGCATCTGCCATCTATTCATAGTCATTAAACCCCACCTGAAACATGGGAACTACCAAATTCTTCATTAATTAAATATGTCTATCAAACCTCCAGAAATTCAGTCATCCTGCTAGTGGGAAAAGTTCTTCAAATTAAACAATGCAGTAAATATCTCTTTAATGGATGTCCTACTTGGTTACCACCAATGAGAAAAATATATTTCTTATGACAAAAACACAAATAAGGAGGTTTGCATAACCAATAATTGTGCATTTTTTTACAAATGGAAGCAAAATAAAGAGCTCTGTTGTATTATGGTGTCTTTGTCACTGAAAACAGTATGAAAGTGTCCTTATGGTCATACTTCCAGCCCCAAACATTATTGTAGTGTAGATTATAGTTAAAAAGCTGCCTAACTAGTATTTGCAGTTTTATTAATAGAAAGAATGAAACTCCTATCTCTGAATTTACCAGGTACAAGGCCTTTCCCATGATAAATAAAACTTACCAAATCAAAACCTTTCTGTGAAAGCCAAGAGTTTGCTCAGTCAAACCAACCAACCAATTTTGCCAGCAGAGGGGAAAAAAGAGCATTTAAATTTTCTTGAAAACTAAGGCTTGGAGAAAGGAACAAGTACATAATAATCCTTGGAAACATTCTTGCTCAGACATATATAGTATATTTTCAAACCCAAAAGAAGAGAAGCTGGAACATCAACAGGGGCAAGGGGAGAGAGAGAAAAGGGAGAAAACATGATAAATGAACATTTGGTCTTTTCTAAAAATATGCTACTTAGTTATTTTCTAGCTACTGGATATCAAATATCACTATAGGATACAAGCTGATTTTTAGCAAGATTTAGCAAGCTGACCAACATCAAGGAAAGCCTCAGGGGAAGAATTTGGCATAAAATTCACCACCTGTTCCTTATATTATTTCCTGAAATGAATGCCCACAAATGAAAATTATTAAGCAAGGGAAACACAGAACTGAGTAGTATTATCTTTGTGCTAATAGCAAAATTGGTAAATTTTTCTTTTATCAGGCTACAAGGAATGAGATGGGATTTATTAATGGAAACCATAACCTCAGATTTGTAATTGGGAAACTGGTAGTTAATTAATGGAAGAGATTAGGGCATGTAAGACTGACAGATAATTATTTCCTCCATTGGAAGTAACAGAATTAGATTTTAATAATAAATATACAAATTTGATATTAAATGTATGTATATTTGCAAGCTACAAATGCAATGATATAATATTGTATCAGTTGCCACCAGAAAATTAACAGTGGCATCTTTGGCTGTGAAAATGAAAATGAAAATGAAAATTACACTGAAATTATACTAGAACACATGGATTTGGAACAAAATAGAAAAGATGACGTAGGTTTACGTATTGCCAATAGAAGTGACTGTGCCATTATTTTCATTTCCACAGCCACCTAGAATGAAAATTCTCAAGCAGCATGAATTTTGCTAATACCATTGAGTTGTTAAAGTATCTTCACTGGAGCTGCACTAAACTACTTAAATCAATAGTGTGAATAGCTGAGGGTGCAGCAGACTACATAGAAACATATAGCCGAGATTAGATAACATTGGTTAACAAAATCAGTTACTAAAGAGGCGTTTCTTTCAGTCTTCATGTAACCATAGATGATCCTGCAACAAAACTGTGGGGTTTAGATCTCTATCCATCTCATCTTTTCTTTGCAAGTGTCTCATCCCATTAACATTTAAGAAACACATTTAACAGTTTTGCTGTTCACATTTACATTGTTTTTATGGCAGATTTTCAATTTTGACAACTGTAGAAGGATCTGAGAGGCATGTGGAGAGATGTAAACTTTATTAACAGCTTTTGCAATAAATCAGTGGATTAAAAAAAGATAGGAAAATTATTAAAATATGATCTGCTTATAATAGTTGGCTCTTAGTTTAAGAAATACATGGATGAGTTCATCTAACTATATACTGTCAATTTATTACCCTAACTTATTGGGGGTGGGGGGAGAGAGAGAGAGAGAGCAATTATCAAACTAATGTGAGTGATTCCATTCCAATTATGAGCAATATTCTGAGCAATTTCAAAACAGATTCTGATCGTTAGTGGACCAGTTAAGACAATCTTGCTGTGATGCATTTTGCACTGAACTTGTGACCAAACTAAACCAATTTTTTTAATTTGCTATCTGCCTTTCCACACACAAAAACCCCCTTAACATTCTTTAATTAATTAGTGTGGCTGGATTCCATATCAGTGTTTTTTAAAGGGCCACTCTTTATAGAACTGAAATTTCTTTGATCATAGTTTTTCAAGGTTAGGTGGAAGATGGCTGTTTGAAAAGCTTTACTGAGTTAAATACATTCCTCCTAATTGAATGCATTCTAATGATACATTTAATACACACAATAAAAAGCTAGCATATGTTTGCAGCTGTAGAAGCAGTAACGTTTACTTCAGTGTTATAAGCTTAACCTTTCTTATGGTGCACAGAAACATGAAAGACCATCAGTAGAATTCCAATGTACATAAACAGTTTCTTCGACGGATTTTCTAATATTCAAATCCTCAAAACATTATACTTTATCAAGGATATTTGGAAATCAGCCACATATAAAAGTGTATTTCTGCTTTTAAAATGTGTTGAGTTTCATCAAAACTGTGTAAAAAGGATCTTAAAAGCCATCAGTGCTTTTGAGAGAAAAAAGAGATAATTCTGTAATTCGCATAAACCATAAAAAAGGCAGCAAACATTGTTTTTGTTATAGTAAATTAATACTTAAAGAACATTTACAGAATTTAAAAGATGGTGTCCTACATGGAGAAAAAGGGGAAATAACACAGAAAAACATCTCTCCAAAGCCTATTTAAATCAATGAGGATCCTTCCACTGACTATTTAGTGGAACTTGGATGAGGCCTTAAGTGTTAAGAATATTAACTTATAAAGAACCAGTCTGGTTTCAGTCTAAGTGACAGTTTTTCTGTTGAATTCAGTGAGAATTGTATCAGGCCTGTTTTTTATGTGAAGATCACACTTTGAGGGAACCAGTCTTTAGCTTGAAGAAATGTCTGCAGTGACGGAATGTTATGTAAGGTAGGTGAAATAGCCACCCAGTACCTGCATGCATCAAAGAGAATCAAAGGAACGTTTGACTGCAGATCACAAAATGTCCTCTGAAGAGATTTTCTTTGAAGAAATACAACAAAATTCTGAATCTTTCTATTTTATTCACTGAGGCCGTCATCTGCAATCACTCACCGTGTACTTTAATGAGACAACTGTGCTTGAGTAACAGAGTAATAATTTTTTCCACTCAGGAACTTCAACTTTTGCCCTGGGACATTGGAGTCCAACTTGCAAGCATCTGACTGTTTGACTGATGATAGGCACAGTTATTTTTTAGGGAGCCACTTGATAAAAAAGTGAAACAACTATTGGAATCAAATGGCACCCTTGCTGACTACTTTTGTGTTAATTTAGGGATCAAATGGGCATGACAGCTTGAATGTGATCTATCATTTTGCAGCCTGTCCTTGTTTCAGCTGGGATAGAGTTAATTGTCTTCCAAGTAGCTAGTATAGTGCTGTGTTTTGGATTTAGTATAAGAAGAATGTTGATAACACGCTGATATTTTAATTGTTGCTAAGTAGTGTTTATATTAGTCAAGAACTTTTCAGCTTCCCATGCTCTGCCAGGTGCACAAGAAGCTGGGAGGGGGCATAGCCAAGATAGCTGATCCAAATTGGCCAAAGGGCTATTCCATACCATATGAAGTCATGCTCAGTATATAAATGGGGGGAGTTGGCTGAGGAGCAGCCATCACTCCTTGGGCGTGGGCTGGGGATCAGTCGGTGGGTGATGAGCGGTTGCATCACTTGTTTTCCCTGGGTTTTGTTCCTCTTTTTTTTTTGTCATTTTCCTTTTCACTACAATTTAGTAGTAGTAGTAGTACATCATCATTCTCATCATTATAATCATCATTATTATTTTATTTTATTTTTGTTTTATTTTATTTTATTTCAGTTGTTAAACTGTTGGTAACTCAACCCACAAGTTTTACTTTTGCCCTTCCGATTTTCTCCCCCATCCCACTGAGGGGGGAGGGTGAGCAAGTGGCTGCATGGTGCTTAGTTGCTGGCTGGGGTTAAACCACGACACAGTGTTATGCTGATGTCAGTCAGGTCAGTCCGTAGGTTCTGTGGTTCAAAACTGTACTTTTGCTTCCTATCTTGCCCTGCTCTGTTGACACATAACAACAGAAATCTTGCATCCTATCTATACGCCACTCCCATAAAGAAGGGATTAAGTCATTTGCCACTAGAACTGATCATTTCTACAGCTGACAGATACACCAGACATGGAATTTCAGGGTAAGAAAGCAGTAGTTTAGCTTAGATTTACATTTAAACTTTAAATCTGCTTCCAGAGGCTATAGCAAAAGAATTCAGGAACAGCAGAAATACCATTAAGATTCTAAACAAAAACTGAGAAGGCTGAATATTCTGCTACAAGATTGAAAGACATTAATTTTTAATATGGACAAAAATGGCCTTAAAAGTGTTTATTCATAATTTAATGCATACTTTGAAAGTGATGACAAAAGAATTCTCTTGTACTTACTAGTTAACATGTTAAATAATGGCAAAAGATTAATCCCAAGCATACCAACCTGAAAATGGCCTCTGTAAGAGCAAAAATGAATCAGACAGTCAAACAAATTGAGGTCTATGCACAGAAGAAAAAGTATTTGGCACCATTGCCCTTCTCAAAAAATTTGTAAAACAGTAAAACTTATCCACGATGACTTACATTTTAACTTACATGAAAAAAACTTTCAGATTTATTTTTGCTTAAATTTTCTCTTTATAAAGTGAAATTAATTCTTATCATAAGTATAGAGGGGTTTTGTCTGCAGTATAAAGAACAAGCAGTGGTTTGTAACAAAAGATGGCTACATTTCAAATAAATGTAAGAAAATATTTCTTCTAAATTTGTGATTCACTATATAGATTTATATTTATTGAAATTCAAAGGTCTTAGTGGATAAGAAAGTGAAAGAGATTTTTGCCAATTAATACACAGGTTTAAGAAGGTAGGAACAGTGAAGTCGCATATTCTGGGGTATAAAACAATGCTAAAAAAAATCACAAAACCAGCTGCTGGCTGGATTAGATAATACACATCTGATGCCATTTGTGCCCTCATCTTAATATCATCCTGGATGATGCAGTGGCCTCTGTTTTCAGCAAATTTATATGGCCACTACTAATATGAATTCACTTTAATTATCTTCTTAAAACTCACAATCTGTCTTCACCAAGAAACAGAGTAAGGTACCACTGATCCCAAAACATAATCTCCATGGTTTGACCAGCAGAGGTTTCATGTAGGCCCCCTGAAGGATGTTGTTTATCTATTAATGTCTGCAATGTTAACAAGGCATTGCCCTTTGCAACCTCAGCTTTCCCTAAGGGCAGAGCAAAGGGAATAAGGATCAGGCTCCTTACAACCCCTCTGGTGTGTTAAAACTTTGACAGCCCTCGAATCATAATCAAAATTATTAGCTTCACCATCTGGGCAGTGGGATCAGATGCCATGCAAGATCTTCCCAACTCCCACACAGAAAATTGAATAGGTAGCTACTGAGGATGCAGTTCATGTATATGTAAGCTCAAGGGTACATTATGTTCTTGCCAGACATGAATATTGTATGTTTCTTGTCCATTAGCTGTTACGAATTTGCCTGGCTGCTGCAGAGAACATTACTGCTGCACTGGGGTGAATGCGTGTTCCCAAATTCTTGCTCAGCTTTCAGTTTGGCTGCGCCCCCCTTGCTTCCCTGTGACTATTTGCCCAAGTAGGCTTCTGCTTCCAGAAATGTTAAGAACAGCTGTTCACTGTGCAACAGCCCATTCTTGCAAAGAAACGTGTCTTAGCAATTTCTTCTGGGAAAATGTCAAGCCCTTATTTCTTATTTAACTAGAAAGGAGTCCACTTTACTGTCTTACAATTTACTATAAAAGAACAGTCTTTTGGCAAGAACACTGATGAGACATGTTAAAAAGGGACAAAATGATTACGTGATATATGTGGATATTTTACTACCTGGCACATTACAATAAATAAGTTAGAACTAGGCATTTCCCTGGCTGAAAGCAAAGGTGCCTGTGTTATACACCTGATGGCTGTGCTGACAACCCATCAAGGGAAAGACTACTGAAGTAACTCTATATGCATTGGTTCAATCAGAAGTTTGATAGATGAGTGGCTTTCGATAACCTATTTTATTCAATTAAGAGGGTCCTTCCAGATCTTACCACCTATAGAAAACAATTTAGCCTCTTACGGCCCATTTCCGCTATGCAACTAGAATTCAAAAAAGTATCATCTGCCCTGTCACGGGCTTTATGAAACCCTTCATACATCGGCAACAGAAAGAGCAGGAGAAAGAGCACAGAGATAAAGCCTTGTCAGGAGGAGACAGGTATGTGTGTGACATGGTAGTGCTGTAGAAATTTTGAAGACAGTTGTTATCTTTGAGCACACACAGACGGACATGCTACCTTGGGGCACAATGCTGCAGATGTAGCACAGAAGAGCCAAGAACTGGAAATGTGTAAATATGTTTCAAAGCACTTTTAGGGTCCTGTGCCTTGTTAGGCAAATTCATGAATCTATACAAATCAGTCTGTAAGTCGTAAGTTAACATTCATTCATCTGAAACATACCTGTTCAGTAGTCTTGCTCAGTTCAAACTTACGTGTGCTTGAACAACCAAGCTTGTTTCTGTTATTTCCTATTTTTTGAGAGTTTGATTTTGTTAATTTGAAAATAAGAAGTGAGCACAAAGCTGTGATTCTGACTACCTAGGTCATCTTTGACAGACCACTTAAATTTTTGCTCCACTTTTTGCATCCATAAATTAAAGACATTTATCTTTCAAGCATTGTGAAGCATATTGAAACAATTAATGACTGAATTTCCTAAAAAAAGGAAAATTGGCCAGCCTGTGAATTGCAAGTGTTCTGTTATTCCTAGTTTCCTATTTCCTAACTTTTGAAAAATCATCAAGTTAGCAATTACTTAGTGCTTTTGTCATAAAGGTTGCCTTTTTTCAGTGGTCTATTGGGTATAGATCATATGTATTAGGAACCAGTAACCAATCTTTTTTTCTCTACTTCTGCCCTTATTTCTGCAGTATGTACGTGTGTCTTTTGACACAAAGCCTGACCTTCTTCTGCATCTGATGACCAAAGAGTAGCAGCTTGAGCTCCCTAAACTTCTCATCTCTGTGCATGGGGGCCTTCAGAATTTTGAACTTCAGCCAAAACTCAAGCAAGTCTTTGGAAAAGGTCTCATTAAGGCTGCTATGACAACTGGAGCATGGATATTCACTGGAGGAGTAAACACAGGTAATAGCAACATTGAAATGAAAGTACAGTGGCATCTAGGAGATTTCATCACAGAATAAAATTAGGACTGATGAGATTAAGAAGCCATTCCATGTTTTATCTTATTAGTGTTGGCTGTACTATGTGCAAACAAGAAAATGCCAAGTTCATACCAGCCTGGCAGCTACCAGGCAGCTAAAGCATGAAAAGCACACTGGGGAGCTGAAAATAAAGCCTCCTGTGAGGCAATTATATTAGTATATTGCTAGTAAAGACTTTATAAGATCAACGGTAAGCTACAGGGAGGGACTACTAACCAGAAACCAAAGAAGTTAAACTCTTATTACATAAAATGGAAAACATTTTTATCCAGAAAACACCTTTATTTTATCTTATAAGATGATCCGAAGTATGAAAGGAAAAAGGTTCTGTTTTGTGGATGTAGTGGAAAACTGTATTGTGACTGCAACAAGAGTGATAACATTGCCATTTTATTCAAAGTTAGGAACTCTGTAATATACTATATGGGTGTCCTAATGACCCAAAATAGCAGCTGGCCCAGCTCTGCTGGGAGACAGCATGTAGGTTTTGGGAATAAGCTGCAAAACATAGTTCCCCAGATAAAAAAGGCTGGGCAGTGGCTTCCCAGTTACCCTCCCTGAAGGAGGCAGAAAGGAGGAGAGAGTCAAAAAGTCAGAGAGTTCTGCTAGAGATAAATGCAAAAAGTTTTGAGCTAGGACATGTACTGGTAAATTCTTATGTCATTCTCATTTGCTGCAGTAACAAAGCTATAATTTATTACTTTAGTAATCCCACAGAGTGTATCCTCTTATTGTCTATGAAAAACACTGTAATCATGCATGAGTTTTAGTGCATTGTGGATAAACTCCTACATATTTGAATATGAACACTTAATAGGAGTCTTGGGCTTTTTAGTTTCCAGAGCACATCAAATTTAGAACAATATTTAGTTTTATCATAGCAGCAATACAAATAGCAAAGAAGATAGCTTCTAGAGTGTTAGATAGATAAACGAACAGACTCACATGTACGTAATATCCCCCACATCTCTGCAGAACAAGGAAGAAAATCAGGTTAAATGTTGACCTGTGTACTGTGATAATAATAATGTTAGTTGCCAGATACTCTTGTAGTGATGATGGCAAACACAGATATAAATTTTAAGTTAAAAGCACAATAGAAAACTGTAGATATTATGCACTCATTGCAGTGGATTATCACAGGAACTGTAGAAATCAAACTACAGAAATTTTGTAAACAAGGACTGACTATAACATTTGCATTTGGCAAATGCACTACTGCTTCATACCATTTTTCAAATCATCATAGTTGCAAATGCCAAAATAATACAAATGAAGAAGGAAAGTCAACATAATTACTGTTGAAAAGGATTTTTTTTCCTGTAATCAAAAATTACCTAGACAAAACAATGAAGTTCACATTGCTGTGTGTTATTTTAAAAATGTATAACTCCAGAAGAAGTTCTCCATTATCAGTTATGTCTCATTGCTGTTTTTGATTTCAGGAGCAAAGCAGTTGATTGCTCCAGGGCTAGGTTTTCAAATGTGTAGTTGAAAATTAAGTGTTTTATCTCTATGTGAAATTGTACAAATTGAGAATTTCGTACAGTCTGTTCGGTTGATGATGAGTTTTTAAATCAAATTTCTCTTAAGGAAAAGTATAATTGAAAAATCCTTACATACTGCTGTTGGAATAAGAATCAGTGATGTGACAGGGATGGTGCATACCTGGCTATAACCATGAGTGTTAAATGACTTAAACAAGTTGTCCTGAATATTCATGTCATGCTGAAAATTGATTATTCTAAATAGCAGAAATTTTTGCAGTCTGGACAGATTTCCTGCTTTGAATACTTTGGGTTGCTGGATCAGAGCCTAATTCATAGCTGATTGCAGATACAGGTTTTTTTTTTTCCTTTTCCACCACACGAAGGAATAGACTCCAGGAATTAGAGGATTTGTTAGGTTGTGGGGTTTTTTCTTACATGGTTCTTTTATGGTGCAGAAAAACTATGGCTAAAATCACATCTATTGTGTGACTGTTGTAATTCCAATCCAGTCATCTTGAAATTGTGGAATCTGAACAAGAAGCAAACACAGAAACTGAGTACCGGATAACATCCGCAGCAAATCTACAGATCTGCTTCAGTGCAGCCACATCACAAAAATAGTTATTAATACACAGGTAAAAAAATTATTTTATGAAAAGGAAGGGGGAATGGCACTTGTCCTCTGCACAGAGATACCACTGAAACACTGACAAAGCTGGCCTAAAGCATACAAGGAGTGTTATCAGAAAGCACTTGGAAGAGAGATGTGGAGCAGCCATTCTCTCTGCACTAATTTTTGTTTTCTCACAGACCCAGGGGGTTGCAGCCACATCACAAAAATAGTTATTAATACACAGGTAAAAAAATTATTTTATGAAAAGGAAGGGGGAATGGCACTTGTCCTCTGCACAGAGATACCACTGAAACACTGACAAAGCTGGCCTAAAGCATACAAGGAGTGTTATCAGAAAGCACTTGGAAGAGAGATGTGCCCCAGCCATTCTCTCTGCACTAATTTTTGTTTTCTCACAGATCCCCAGGGGGTTTTCTAATACTCTGCTGGAAGCTATCTCAGGTGACTGAGTTTGTTGGGAAAGAACGGTAGAATAGCTCACCACAGAGTAGTGTAATGATGTTGTCACATTTCCATCCTTTATTCAGACAGAAGGGAACATTTGTATGTGAGCTCCACTTTTGGGGAGGATTTGGGGGGAGTTTTTTAATTCCTGTGCTTGTTTCTGTGCTTGGGAAGCATACAAATGCTTGCAAGCGCATATGTTTGTGAACACAAGTGCAAATAAAAAAGTTACAGTCAGCTGTCAGCATTTCCATTCTTATTTCTAGAGCTGTGTAATTGTTTTCTTGCTACTTCATTTAATATTTTTTATATTAGACAAAATAGACTTACAGTATTACTGTGATAATAATCAATAGGAATATATTCATAGCTTTAGTTATGCATAGATGTTTCCTAAAAAGGAATTCTATACTAAATCCATACCATAATGAATAAAAAGGACATAATTATGAATTTCTATTTTATGCTGTTTCTTTCCCAGGAGTCATTCGGCATGTTGGAGATGCACTGAAAGATCATGCCTCAAAATCTCGAGGGAAGATCTGCACCATCGGTATAGCTCCATGGGGGATTGTGGAAAATCAAGAGGATCTGATTGGCAAAGATGTAAGCCCTATATGGACATAGATCACCTCCCCAGTATATATAAATCTGCCAGTTATTTTTCCTTTCCTCTCCATCCCTCTCTTAACAATTCTTCATAGAATTAATGTCTGCAGCAAAAAATCAATACATACATAGGTTTTCCATTATGGTTGATAGCAGTTTTGACATGGCAGCAATAAGAATTCCTGCATTGTATGTTCTTTAAAAATAAATTATGAAGAAATTTCATTAAATGCTATTCTTGAAAATATATTAAAGTTTCATCATTAGAACACTACGAACCCTGAAAAGTGCCTAAGAAAACACTGATTGCAAAGCTCGAAGTCTGATTTTGAAACAATACTATGATGCATTGGTTGAATTCAGAATTGCAGACTCCCCCTAGCAATATATTCTGTCCTATACATTTTTATTACTGCAGTTGTGAAGAGTCCTGTAAATGTATTGGACATGAGACCAGACCTCAAAGAATCATTACTTTAGTCATTACTTTAGTCACCTTCTGAAAGGCAGAGTCAGTGTTTCTTGTACTCTTTCACATCATTCTTCTTTTAAACCTATACTGTCACTCAGAAAGATTAACTCCCCGATTTTAAATACATGAATAGTTTACTTACACTAGGTAGGTGTTACCTGAAGGTTTTTTGATCTCTTTTTTTTTTGCCTCAACTCTGGTTCATTCCCAAGCAACCTGCCTGAGAACCAGTGGCTAACTTTGAGTAAAGAAGAGATAAAGTCTTCATTCTACATAGTGAACATTTTTCTTGTCTACATTACTCTAAACCATTCTTCTCTGTATGTTTGTCCATTAGTAAGTTGGGGAGGGGAGGAAGATTCCATTATCAGTTAGGTCAGAAGGAATTACAATGAGTATGAAGAAATTGATCCAACTGGAATTCATTGCAATTCACTATTAAAGTATAGCCATTACAGTGAATTGTATTAGCATGGGGTTTTGTACTCTAATACTACCAGCGTTTGTATAATAGGGTTACCAATATATACAAATAAGCAGGATGAGACTCTGCAGCAGTAATTCTGAGTCACTAATGAACTCTTCTGAGATGCAGTGCAAAAGGTGACTAGCAGCAATAGCTAATCACAAAGATGAGGTAAGTGTTGTTAAAGAAGTGTAATGTAAACATCAATTTCAAATAAGCAGTCTTTACTGACTATGCATGGAGTTCTGGAAGCATTGCAAGAAGAAAGAAGGCAAGAAAGGACATCAAATTAGTCATTAATTTTGGGACATTGTTATTCCACCAGTAGTGGAATAATACCTCTGTTCTCTGTTCTCATCTAGTCACCACCTGTTAAAGGGGCTCTGGAGCCTTCTTTTACAGAAAGAGCTGAAGAAAGAAGTTGGTTTCATAGCTGTTCCAGGCAACTGGAACAGCCTCCCCTCCCCCCAGTTTCTGACTTCTTTAAGAGACGTTTTCCTCTAAAGATCCTTCCAGTTTAACAGGAAAACGAGAAGTTGTATGCTAACTTCTTTTTAAAAAAAAAAGCTTTCTAGTAAATCAAAAAAAGGTTAATACTTAGTCTGATCATCAGACAGAAAGTGATGAAAGTTTAAAAAAACAGTGAAGAAAAGAATTTGGATAAAGTCTTCCATTAATGCAGCCACAATTATATCAGTAGGATTACAATTACAGGGTCATCACTAAGGATAAAAATAGTTCCGAAATGTATCTGTGATAGATAAAATTGAAACTTTTCTTCCAAACCTCCTGGCCCCTAATATTTTCATAAAATGATTCGTTAATGGCATGATGCAATGCTGAAGCACTTCTGGTTTTATCCATTCCTAATGTACATATAATGATATTGCTTTATGCTTACCAATATTGAATTTCATCGTCTATTTTATTGCCTAGTCAGGCTGCTTTATGAAGACTTTCTTTAACTCTTCATAGTCCACTGAAATATCTGTAAGCTTTTCACACTCTTATTAACCTCAAATCCCTTACAACTGTGTGGAACAGAACATGACCTAGCTTGAGGTAGGCCACTTATGTCACTAAATCTTATTAGTAACACTCCATCTTTGCAAAAATTAACTTTTCCTTCTTAAAGTTTTTCCTCCCTTCCCCTCAGCTTTCCCCAGTTACTAATCCCTCTAAAGACTTTCCCTATTATCCAATGTGTGCAGTTTCTTTAGAAGCATTTGGCGAGGAAGCTTTTTGAAAGTTTTTGAAAATCAAAGTGCACTATATTGACTGGCTCATTAGAGGTGAATGCTGTGAAATGAACCAAGAAGGGGAAATATAAATAGTACCATAAGCATGTAAAATGAATCATCGTTAAGCAAGAAACAAAGGCCACAAAGGATTATGCAGGGGGGAAAAAAAGTCAACCAATAGTAAAAGGCCTGTCAAACTCCAGCATCAATGTGGCTTTATGCCTATATGCACTATGTCTAGTTAAATTATGATCAGAACTGAAGAGCTGTCAAAACATAACCTTCCAGCATCAGATAGATACAGAAAATTGTCTTAGTCATGGGATTTGGGGAAGGGGAGGGAGGAGAGGGAGTTACTGCCACTGCACATGCTCCAGTGCATGTTGCCTCCCTGTGCCTTATGGCAAATCAGGCGTGCTCAGCAGAGCTGTGCCTCTGCTAATGCTCCAGTCCTTGCCTGGCCTGTATGGATCTTGAAGTCATAGCTGAGGAGTTTTATTACATTTACCAGTCCATCCAAATCAGTCAGCTCTTGGGAATCCCAAGGGCTTTCCTTAGAGCCATAAAGAGGACTGGCCAAGTTAAGTAAAATATTGCTGCTGTTTGCTATTTATTATATTGTGATGGTTAAAGATCGCTAAAGAGACTTGTCTTGCTCCAGTACTGTAAAAGCAATATAGCAGAAAATAGTGCCCCCCTTAACACACTTAGATTCTAATTTAAAAAACGGTTATTCTACCAGAAAGTAAGGTGGCTTGCTGACTCTTGTAGAAAACTTGGATTATAAACAGATTTCTCCCTACATACAGAGCCATTCTTCCTTTTAAAAGAGTGCAGTGTGTGAGCCTTTGTAGCATGCACATCTTTCCTTTTGAGTCTGTTTAGCCCTCATTTGGGTTTAATTCCTAGTCACCTCAGTAGGAACAGTGCCTGGATTACAAAGAGAACACTGATTTTAGCACTTTCCTTTTGCTCAATGAAATCATTCAAATAAGTTTCATTTTTAGTCCAAAGAAGCTAGTATTTGAGACTTAAATCAAAATATGCTTTTATTGTGCAACTCAGTGAAAAGGACATTTTCATACTCTGATATGTCATTGATCAGTCAAGATGCTGTAGTATATAACCTACTAACTTAAATAGAATGCATTTTTTTTAGTAATTAAAGTTTTGAGAAAAAAAAATTACTGAACTAATTGAAACTAAAATTGAGCTTCTGTGCTGCTATGCTGAATCACTACAAAACCCATGACACCCACTCTTTCATGCATTCTATAAAAATCCTTCCATATGTGGATACAACAGGTTGACATAAGGACAAAATCCTAAAGTCTCTCCAAATTTCTTGGGAAGAAGACACAAAATATTAGCGTTGCATAAGATACAGGTAACACTGGAAAAGGCGTGGGACCAGCTTCTGCTGCAGTTACACAGTACAAATTAGGATCCAATGTCCCCCTGAAAGCCTTACTGCACCTATGCAAAAGGTCAGTGTTTAAGGCAACCAGACAAAAGTTTGTTCCTTCATGCTCAGTTTTTTATTTTGATGGATGAGTAAAATCTCATTAGTAACCATCTCTCAAGCAAAAAGACATATTAGTAAAATGACACCTTATATCAGCAAGGTCCATGGAGTCCCACCCTGTAAAATACTTAGTAACCTGACCACCTTGATCATGGTTCAGCCATGAAATAGTTTTGCTTCTCCCATATTTATATTACATTACATTACATTATATTATATTATATTATATTATATTATATTATATTATATGTTGTATTATATATATTTTTAGATGTATATATATATACCAACCCTTTCATGCACTCTGCCTTCCAGAATAAATTATATTTTTTAATTCCTAGAACTCAAATGATGGAAGCACAATCATTCCCAGTTGTAGATATTCTTTATGGACTTCACTAATAACAGATGCCTGTTCTTTTGTACAGCTCAGTATATTCTGAAAAAATAAATTTAATAAAACTCAGGCAATGAATATACTGCTACTTGAAACCTACTCTTCTATACAGCTGCAATCATAATAATAAGGAGCAAATATTGTCACCTTTTATATAAAAGACAAATTTATTTTGGACTAAACGTGAGTTGAATCCAAACATCCTTAGATATTTCATTTGTTAAAAAGTAAAGTTTCTAGACAATACTTCTGATTTATTAAAGACTTCAGTTTCAGAGTAACCAATTTTTATATTAGTACAGTTGCTGAATTTTATAACTATAACTGGAGGTAAGAACATGTCATCAGCAAAGTTTTCTCTGGGGTGCTCAAACGGTACTCACAGCAGAACTCTGCAGTCTTGCTCTGCTTGCTCAGTTATATCTTCATCTTTTTTCAGTATTGATTTGGATAGGGAGGAAATTGAAAAACTGGAAGGTTGTATGCACTTCAGAGGGCAGGATCACAACAGAGAAGTTAGAAGTCAGCCTGTCATGGAGCAGGTGCTAGCATGAACATCTCAGAATCCCTGGACAATAACAGACTAGACAGCTTCTTCAGGAATGGTGGGGACCTTCCATGTTGTAGTGGGTCACCAGATAATTATTAATGGTTAAAACAACTTGATTACACTATAACTCAGTGCTGTTTCAGAAAGATGAGTATTATGCTGAAATTTACTAACAGGACAGGTATACGGCCTTGGGAATTATTCACTTTTATGGCACTGGGCACAGGTGAGGCCAACATCTAGTTATAAGTCAAGGAAATAAGAGCAAACAGGAGGTGCAGAAAACGTAACCATTGAGAAAAGCTTAAAGCTTAAAGAACTAGAATTGTTTGCTATATATTACAGCTGAACTAACTGGGAAAGGCTTATTTTCATCAACACACAAAGTCCTGCCCACTTCCTTCTCCATGATCCCATCAGTAAATGCCTCATTATAAAGGACTTCACTCTGCCAGTGCCAAGTCCCTTTCATTTTCGGAATCCCCCCTGCCTCTCCGAGATTACCAAAGGTTATCCAAACCAGAAAAAGTGTGTGTTCAAGAATTAGCATCACCTTAGAATTAGTGTCTCCTTACCATTCATGTATATGAAAAAAAATCATATAGCTGTCAAGCCTGATAGGTATGTAGCCAGACCTCACCACTTTAAACCGTGATCTTTAAAACACATTCCAGTGAGTCTTGTCAGAAAGACCAGCCTTCATATTATCTGCTCTGTATGTGTGTACCAGACAACATGTACATCAGACTGTCACGACAGGCTGGCTACATGTTTCCTATTTGTTCTTTCATAGTACTCTGAATAACGACGTGAGCTTATAGCATGACATTGCTTCCTTCTATCTCTCAAACTTCTTTGTTTTTACAATGTCAGAAAGATTATATTTTGCTTTAGTTATTTCCTGCAGGTTTCAGAATAATAATAAAAGTTACAAATCCCAGGCAACTAATTAATAAGTGTATATTACTTTATTGTTGTTGGATTTGTTGTAACCAATTTTGACTTGGTTTTGGTAGATATTTTGCAATTATCCTTCCAGAAAGATGTTATTCTTTGAGAAACCATAGATAGTTCACAAGTTTGTTTCACTATAACTTTTGTCCAGTGTCAAAGTAGCAGAGCTCCCTTGCAGGCCAGGTCAGGAAATAATTACTCTGAGGAAAGGTGTAAGGAAAAGAGATTCAGAGCTCTCATTGCAAACTACAAGGTGGGAAGCATGCCTGGGGCAAAGCTGGGGACTGGCATATTTGTAGCATATACAGAGAATTTCGACCATGATGCTTGCAGGATCCTCTAAATTAAACCAGGAGCTACTCTGTTCCCTGGTGGACCCCAGTAACAGTGAGGATGCAGAGAAGGCTTAATTTGAACAACTACTAGTTTTTGAGAAGCAAAGCACGCATATCTTTTTCTGCCACTACTCTGAACACACTAAGTTTGTTGTAAATTCTTTGCCTTCACCTAGACTGCTGAGATTCATGCACTGGATCAGATGACACATGCATGCTCATTGTCCATAGTGAGTTACCCTGAGCGATTTTTCAAGTGCTGTCCCTATGTTGAGTGTCATGGGCCCACCGGGAATATAAACAGAGTATAACAGTGCTTTTAATTCAAGCTTGCTGCCACCTTATGGTGCAAAGGCAGCTGCTGGGGTTAGCCCAGCTCCCCACCAATTGACAGAATGCCCTCAGCCTGTGCAGCTTGAGTACTGCTTCACAGCATGGCTGCTGTCACATTCATTAACCTGTATTTAGAGGGGTTGTCTTGAGCATAAATGCTTCCTTTCAACTCTGCAGAGGAAGATGCCAGGGGACATTGTTCCCTCTTCTCAATGCAGAAAGAGGATGAGAAGACATTAAAGTCAAAGTTTTCCCAGCCTTTTAACTTGCCTATAAAATGTAAGGGATTGCAAAGAACAAGGGAATGGGAACTGCAAGAGTGAGAAATCGAAAATCTGCTGAGCATTGTGGAAAAGCAGTTCACCTCAAGGAAATAGCCTTAAAGCATAGGATTTTCTTGCCTTCCTGAAGATTTTGCTTATCCTTTAATCAGGAAAAGATTCTGACAGCGTGATTTGTGAAATTTATTATTAAAAGTATTTCAGCTGTTGAACTGTGCGTGCTGTGAACAGTTCAATTGAAAATAATTGTATTCTCATTTTCACATCTATAAAATTTATTAATAATAAGATTCACCTTGTAGCTAAACAGCAGACAGAACCAAAGTGGAGCCTTCTAGTTTGCCCTGCAGCAGCACTACTAAGTCAATCTGTGGAGCCTTTGGTGCTGCAGCTCATTAGAACTGCAGCTCAAGCTGTCACCATTAGAAAGATTTGAGCTGTGGCTCTCAGGCACAAACCACAAGCTGTCAGTAGAATTGCATGCACAGTGGCTTGTAATCATACAATGAACATGCAACTCAAGTCATTCCTCTTCTATCAGATCTTGCTGGTCTGTGCCTTCTATATATTGAGAGATAGGTCAGGTATCATTTAAAAAAAATCTGTAACTTTTATTTTATTTGATTCTTAGGCATGTGAGAAAGAACCTTCTTCTTTTTTCTGACTGTGGCATGGGACACATGGTTTCTGTGTCTGTAGAAGCTGGTTAATGAATGTATTCCAGCAGAGTATTGATATTTGTTAAGCTATATGCACCTGTAGAATAAATGTTTTATGAATGCGGCACCAAAAGAAACAGTATCAAAGAAACAAGCCAAAGCTATCACCTGTTCTCACAGTGGAGTGCACTGCCTTTCTGTTGGCCAGCTGCCCTCCTGGTCTTCTCAGACCTATTTCCTCCCTGTTGCAGGATGAACAGTTTACAGAGTACCCTCTGTGTGACAGTTTATAACAGCAAAAGAAGTCTGTGGGTTTCCTCTTGCCGTCGAAGAGCTGACCAAAATGCTGCAAGCATTCGCAAGCGAAAATAATAGAGAGATATATCTCTGGCCAAAGAATTACTAACACATATTATTTATAAAGAATTATGTCTCAATTAGAGAGCTCTTTAGAATAACAAAACAGGAGAGAAGCTTAGGAAGAAATTAATAAGTTAATATATTTCTGTCTGCAAGCATTTTTGTCAAAACATGAGCGTACACTTTTGTGCATTAAAAAGCCCAAGATTTTGTTAGATTAGAAAAATGAACAATGCCAGAGCTGTGAAGAAAAATCCTTGCAGATGAAGTATAGCCCAGCTGAATTTTGTAACAAGTCGCTTCAGCATTTCTTCAGCTAGGACTTCATTTTACAAATTTTCAGGAGTTTTGTCTTTCCAAAAAGACAAGACATATGTAAACAATGCAGGGAACAATATCTCTAGCAAATGTCTTTCAATGATCAGCCAGGATCCCTTGACGCAACACCAATTCTTTTGCCACATCATTGCAGTCTCACTTATGTCGCCGGAGACCCACCAAAGTAGGTGACAGCCAGATGTGGCCCAGTGCTATTATTTGGTCTATCTGGAGGCTATGAGTGGGATAACTCTGCAACAATTTACTCTGTCTGAGTTTCTCCTCATGAAAACAAATCAAAGGAAGTGTAGCAAACGCCCCATTGAATGGAAACTTTCTAAAGCTGTTGTGAACACATGCAACTGCCTTTGTACTGTGCTAAGAATGGGCCAATAGTTTTTTCCAAGGAAACTGAAAATGTGGTGTAATATGTGTACGCCTCTCCAAGAGTGGAATTCACTTGTATTGGTGTGTCTGCAGAGGACTTCCTGTGCTGGTGGCTCTGAATGAGCTGGAACAGGGGGCATGGGTGCTGGGTGGGGTATGTGAAGGAAGAATCAAAGATTTCAGTCAGATAAGGTGAGGATTTACAGCAGCACTATTGAAAGACAGCAGCAGACAGGGTGTACAGTGTGTGTGTGTAGTCACACAGACCGTTGGAGGACTGACCATTGGCTGGACTTAACAGCGAAACAGTGGCCATTGATGCTACTAAAATAGATTACCATGAAAAACCCTTTAAGCAGCATCTGCATCTAAAAGGACAGTGTTTGCAAGAGGGTAGACACACTGGTTTAAGTGCTAAGGTTATTTTCTACTTTACACATAGAAGACAGCAGTGCTCGAGTGCAATACTTCAAACAACTTTGATTTTTTTTCTTTTTCTTTCGTATCATCTTGTGAGCTGGTGTCTTATCATTGATTTGGTTCAGAGGGTCTTTTCTGTTTAGTACTTTTTTTTTTCTTCTGTCTCTAAAATGCAGGTGGTCCGACCATACCAGACGATGTCCAATCCTATGAGTAAGTTGACAGTGCTCAACAGTATGCATTCTCATTTTATTTTGGCTGACAATGGCACTACTGGTAAATATGGAGCAGAGGTGAAACTTCGTAGACAGCTGGAAAAACATATTTCACTTCAGAAGATAAATACAAGTGAGTAACATTTTGCTTGTATTGTTTTATAATTGCAATTATATCAAAGACACTATGAATTTAAATAGGCAATAAGGTCTGTATATTTTGGGGAGTAGCTCTGCTGTCTAAAATGGTGAGCATGAGCTAATAAAAGCAAATGATGGTGAACAAAGATAATAACATTTGATTTTAGAATACTGTGGGTAAGGGTACAGCACAAATAGCTGAATTTGTTTCTGATAAGTTTCAAACAATATTTGTGAAGGCTCTTCAGGTTCAACTTAGGTCTTTGGTACCCCCATCTCCTTAAAACTGTATATAGTTATGGTCCCCTTCATTTTGTAAAGAATAAAGTGGTAGAGAAAAGGGTGACAAAAAGTAAGGGAGAGTTTTTTATGACAAAGACTTTGCAGGCTGGAAGACAGATGACTAAGATGTATAGAGGTATATAAAATCCTGCATGGTTGCAGGAGAAATGACTGGACAACTTAAGCAGTCCCAGAGCCATTGATATTTAGAGGCAGAGAGAGTATCCCATAGACGTGTTACTATATGTTTGCACTGTTTACTAGGTTTTCTTAAGCAGCTGTCATTAGCCACAGCCAGTGGCAGAATATGAGGTTAAATGATCCTTTCACCTCATCTTTTACAATCATCACGATATATTCCACATCATGATCAGACTGAAGCCCTAGTTTTTCTCTCAAAGTTATAATTTTTTTTTTCTTTGATAATCATGTACCACTTTCCTACGTAAAATGAAAATAGTTACCTAGGTAAGTACTTCTGCTTGGATAAAATAAAAGATGATATCTCAATATTAGTACTATTATTTCTGTAGTGTACAGATGCTTAATTTAGATGCGAGTTCAATTATTTCTAGGTATTTTGGATTTTTTTTTTCTTTTGATTACAATCATTTAGTTTCTAGAAACTTAGTGCTATCAAAAGAAAAAAGGATCAGCTCTAGAAATTGAACCTAGGCCATACATAGGGAAGAAATCTTCATTTGGACTTCAGCCAGGCAGGAATTTTTTCAGTCTCACAAACAAACAAACTTCAGTGTTGTACCTGCATGAGCTACCTTTAGAAATGAAAACAGAACTCATTTTTCAAAAGTGATCATATGCATAGCCTTTCTGCTGATAACTCTCCATAAACATGCAATTTTGAGGTCAGGAACGGTGACAGTTTTTGTGATATAGGCACTTGAAACTGGAATGAGACTAAGAAACACGTTTAGACTGTTGGACATCCGATGATAACAAATTACAGGCAGGCCCAATGGGGTGAACATAAACTAGCGTGTTGGTTGTGCTTGATAAAGCTTTCTGTATGGTGAGTATAGTCTGTACTTAAATTAAAATGGTGTGCTACTTACACCTTTCAACACTGCTGCACGAACTACATATACTACAAGCTTATTGTTTTTACAATATCAGAGTATATATTACTTTTTCTCAGAGAGCAGTGTGTAGGTATGCACAAATGTGTGCATCCCAAGTGGTATGTGCATGCCTATGCGTTTCCTTAGCAGATGGAGATAGTATGATCTAATCCTAGGTTGACTAGCAACAAAAATTCACATTTGAAAATGGCATACATGATGTAATCAAACTGTAGAAAACTGTGCCATAAATAATAATTATTTTGAGGACATTTATAAGAAAAGTGTGAGCTTTTGCAGTTTACAGCACAACATTGTGTTGGGGAAATCTTTATGTTAAAAAATAAATCTCTATAGAGAGATTTAACTTAATTCAAGTTTGGACAAGAGGTTTATCTGTTGAAAAGTGATTGATGCATGAACGTCCAATCTTTGGTCATTCAACTCAAATGCTTGCCAGACCTTTTCAAACACCTACAAAAAATGAAGGATTTCTTTTCTCTGGTTTCTCTCTGCAGCCCCACCTCCATCTCCCAGGAGTATGTATCTTCCTTTTCTATTCCCTTTTCTCTGTGACAGAGTCTCTCTATCATTTAACCTCTCCCTCCAAAATCTCTCTCTCTTGTAAACACAAAAACATTTGGGTCTCACAACACTTCTTCAAAATAGAAATGTGAGACAACTGTTAAGAAGGAAGGCTGCTGGTAAGATTTGTATATCTTGGTCCAGTGACATCAAGAATGTTTCTGCCATGCTTTGTTTTCCTTTGTTTTAAAGTCCTGCCCTGCCTCTAGTTAATAGAAAGGTGACCATATGAATGAGAGAAGGACCACATGCCCTACTGGGTCAGCCAAACAGATGGCCACTTTCTGATGCCTTTCCTTACCCTCATTCCTCGCAGAGCAGTGGTGATCCTTGGCCCTGTGCATGCAGGAGCGCTGCAGCAAAGGGATCTTCATCAAACAGGAGTGTGTGCAGCCATCCATGTGTGTCCTTACTAACCATTTTCCAGTAGTAAGCATGTGGAGCGGGGGAAAACACTGACAGCATCAGACTTTTGTTTGCTGGAGAGTCAGGAAAAGGTACAATTTTTAGTTAATCGCCAAACAAAAGAGCAGAAGGCTAGAAAACAGAACAGATTTACGAACTAATAAACAGTTGGTAACTTCTTATTTCACAGCCTGTCCCTGGACAATAGTGCTGAAAGCAGGTTTTATTCTAATTTTTAAGCCTGCCTGACTTTTACATGCTAGGCTTGTCATTTCTTCTTATTTACTTTCCTTTGCTTCAACTGTATCTTTCTCCAGTGCAGTGATAGCTCTCCTGAATGTTTGGGATCACACACTGTTCACAAAGGGAAACTTCAAGCTTGTGCTCGCCTATTAAAAACACAGAAAATGGTATTCCTTTCAAATAGATTAGGACAGTGGCAGTCTCTTTTATAAAATTTAAGATTAAATCAGGTCATTAAGTATGCCAGATAATTCTGAAAGACTCAGCTGCTTTTGTTCCTAATATGGCATAACTCTCAGTCATTTGGCAGTATCTAATTTCCTGACTGAGTTTACTATTAAATAATAATAATAAAAAACTTGCCTTATGCCTGCTATGAACACTAGCGAAAAAGATTTCACTGAATACTCTGTGTCCATTCTAGCTTTTTAGCTTTTACCCCTTCCATAGCTCTTATTTTGTCCACAGCAAATATTCAGGAATGAAAAAATGCTTTCCAGGCAAGCAGAGGGAACAGTTGCATTTGTGGGTCACTCTTCATCAGCAGGTTCAGGACATAGTCACTCAATTGTGCATTTAACTAGAGGTCAATTTGATACTTCAATGCTCAAGGCTTTCTTATTTTCACAAATGAAGACTATTTTAACACAGCCCAGCAACCATCTCTTGCCATGAGCCACAAGTTGTCTCAAACTCATGAAGTTTCAAAGTGCATCATTTTGTAGTAAGAAATGTTGAAAGTAAGATGAACTTTTCTGAAACTGTTTTAAGATCAAAAGGAAATATTGAAGGTGGTCTAATCAGAAATGTTGCTGGTTTCCAATTCACACAAACATTTGAGTCCTGGACTTTTTGCAGGAATTTAAAGGCAGGGAGATCACCTTAAGATATGCTCTGGAAGGAAGGAAAAATATCTTTGTGACCATCCCTGCCATATGGTTTATTTGTACAGCATTGCATGGATAATTTGACAGCTCATGTAAAAATTTTTACATTGAAATGTGGAGTTAAAACAATTTTAGTTCATCCTATTCCAAAAATATTGCATTAATGAGCAGGAAGTTTTCATGACACATGTACATATGCACAGAGATTTTAAATGCAATAAAGTGTCCCAGCTCAAAAGGTGTGATTTTTCAGAGATACAGTAAATGGACTGCAGCTGTGTTTCCAGCTATGATACTATGCTTATACTGTTTCTTGGCATGCAGGGATGTACAGCACGTCAGGCTGATGTAATTCACTGCTGCCAGTTTACTGATTTCTGATTTACTGCTTCTGAAAGTGCTTATAATACTAAACTCTTGTCTCACTGCCTTGAACGCAAGAGGGTTCACAGCTATTCAGAGAATGATAGGTTTCATATGGGCTGGAACAGACCTCTGAAGTTCCCCAGTCTGAGTCTCCTCTCCAAGTGGACTATTGTCAATGCTAAATAACCTTGTCCATAGCTTTGTTTAGCTAAGTCTGAAAACCTCCAGTAATGGATACTCAACTATCTATATGGGCTCCAGCAAAATATTTGGAAACTTTCCCCACCCCACAATCAGTGTGTGATCTGGAGTCCTCCAACCGCTATTCGTGGCCGTTTTTCCTCCATAGGGCCTGGCCTTAGCAAGAAGAGTATGGTTCTAACACCTTTTTAGCACCCCTGCAGATAGTTGTAGGCAGGTATTAGATTACTCCTTAGACTTCTTTTCAAAAGATTAAACAAGCCCTGCTGTCTCAAGCTCTCCTCTTCAGACATATGCTCTAGGCCACAACATACCTTAGCAGCTTTTCTCTGGATGTTCACCAGTTTCTCCTCATCTTTCTTGAAGTGGACAGCCCAAACCTGAATCCAGTCCTTCAGATGCAGCCCCACTACTGATGAACAGAGTGGGGGTGGGATAAAAACTCACACTTGAGACACTTCTCTAATGTAGCACAAGTGCACGGTTTGCCTTATGCGCACTGAGAGCATGCAGTTGGATCACATTCAGATTGGCATCCACTGTAACCCCAGGTCCATGACATAAGGATCTAGTTATCAGATTAGAACAAAAGCTACAAGTTTTACTCTGACAGTCAAGTAATTTACCTTGTTGGAATCCTTTTCCAAGAACGAACACACAAAAATTGCAATTTATGTGGGATTTTTCAGGTTTGGACTTCATTTTCCCAAAAATTGCATAAGTCCTTATTGTCTTTGAGACCTGAAATAACTGTTAGTTTAAAAACATGTGGTTTAATTGACTATCTTTATAAGGATAACTAAAAGTCATTAGGCATTCATCCTCAAGAGATAGACTGCTATGATATTGTAGACCTAACATTTAATTATTCTTTTTCTAAAATTCTTGTGCATCCCTCAAGCTCCTCTTATATACAGTATTCCTTGACTAAAGTAATTCTAAAC